TTTTTTTTTTTTTTTTTTTAAATATTTACTCCATCTGACCACTTGCAGATGCACCTCAAGCGGCGCTGGGCCCCCCCGGTTTTGAATCAGAAGCGCTCTCCTAAAAGCAGCGTGAATCACGGCCTGGGCTATGGCCTGGCAAGAACAAAGCCTCAAAGCCTTCGCTAGGGCTTGATTTTTTGGTGGAAATCACCAAAGCGTGAGTGCATCGTCCCCTCCTGAGGGTGGGGAATGGAGAGATCTGGACGAGGCCCAGAGCCAGGACACGAGCTCCTCCTTTACTTGCTTCACATCTGGCAGGGCCACACTAGGATGAATTTCACTGTAAAGTCCTCAATTTCCTCCAAACTACACTCTTAACACCTACCTTGAGGGCTCCATGGGACTGTGAGGGAAAACATCATGCGCCTTCTTCCTCTCCCACACTCTTCTTTCCCTTTTTCCTTCAGAGATGCATTTGGCTCCTTGGCACGTGGGCAGCCACACAGGAAAATGATGAACTGGTGGGGCCTCAGATTTTATGTAACCCTACTACAATCAGACATGCTTTGCTAATTTGTTTGCACTTGTGTTGGAAACTAGTGGAATTTTACATCTTGTTTCCTTTTGCCAGCTGTTTGCCTTTAGCCTTCTACATCTCCAGTATCTAAGGCCCAATCAGGGTCTCTTCCTTGCTTTTTTCCTCCATTGAACATGTATCCAGCCTTTCTTCATCAAAGCAAAATAGCTTCCATTTTTTTCTAGAAGGCCCCAAGATGCTCTAGTCTGGATTGTTTCCACATACAACTGCTTATGAGACAAACGCAGGCAGACCCAGACACCTCACCTCCCAGCAGCACCAGTGCGCACACAGCTGGCCACCGCCTGGGAGCCAGGGCCCGACACCACCCATCTCCAGCCTCTCTGAGCCTTCCAGGGGAGCACACCAGGCAGCCTTAGCCACCCAGATGTCAAAATAGCCCATGACATATCATGCATGCTCCATTTTCCTTTTTTTTTCCTCTTTTATGAGCAAACAGGCAGAAGCATGTGACAGACCCACTGGCAATGTGCTGAAATAGAAAGGCTTCAGACGACCACACGGGTTTCTCTCCAGAGGTTTCTCCTTGGGATTTTCATCTGCATTGACATGCCAGGCTAGGAAAGCACCTGAGGAGATGGCACAGCCTATACGAGTCAGTAACCCATCACCTCACAGGGATTTGCCTGATATTCTGACCTGCTGCTGTCTATCATGTCAAAAAACCCACTACTGGAGAAGAGCCTCAGATCACATCAGCACAAGGAACCGTGACATCCGAGCCGTGGAAACAAAGCCTGTCCATGATTAACCGAAGCTGCGACAGCCCCTCGAGTCAATATTACCCACACTTGAGAGACCCTCCACAACGCAGACCCACGCATGGGCTCAGGGCAGATTCTAGGGACACCCCAATGCTCAGAGCAGGGTTTGGGCTTCTTCATCTCCACCCCAACGCCTCATACAGGGCCAGCACTGGTTTGAAAGCAAGATGAGCTGTGCTGGAGCAGAGAGGGTTTCATGGTTATCCCAAAGGAGAACCGAGCATCTTGCTTGCCCTTGCCATGCTGGAGGTGTAACAGAGCAAAGGGCAGGTAGGTTATGGTTAAGAGATTGAAATTTGTTAACCAGGATATACAGGGCAGTTCCCTCCACCCCTCCATACAGCTTGCTGCTGGACAGAGTAGCTCATGGCAAGTGAATTGTAAAATCCAGTGAGGCTGGCACAAAGGAAATATTCTAAACACACAATGTGAAAGTCAAGAGACCCTAATGTTGGCTGCTCTGGTGCTCCTGGGTGCCCTCTCTCTGGCAGAATAGATCTGCCAAGGCACAGCAGTCATGGCATCCCTTAGTCATGGCACAGCAGTCACTTTTGAACCTGTCATGAGGTCTGAATTCAATATATCAACTGCAGAGATTGGGGCCAGATTAATTTTAAGAAGGAAATAGTAAACTGGGTATTTTGATAGGAGAACATCAGGTGAAATCGGACACCAGTTGATCAAAGCTACTCACAGATTTGGGCCCTTGCAGAGATGGGTTAGTGCAAAAGGTGCCCAGTGAAAGCAACTTGGGGGACTGAGGTTAAAGGAATTAAGGTGCAAAGAAAAGAAAAGCTTATCACTTCTGATAAGGTATCTACCTCTGCAGTGTATTTGTAGCTGGAGAGCCCAGCTGGGAGGATTTTGCATCTTTGGGTGGCTGTGTTATAATTGCTGCGGTGACAGGACAGCAATTTTCTCTCCATTTCTTTCAATGGTTGCAGAGCCGGGACAACGTTGCCATCTCCTGGTGGCACCTTGTCCCCAGGAGCTGGGCAAGGCAAGTGGCCCAGGCAGGGCCAGCAGGACCCCCACCTCTCCCTGGGACCCTCGCCTCTCCCTGCAAACCCTGCTGGCTTTGCTTACTCTGGCAGAGCTGGAGCGATGGGACAGAAGAAGGGGAGCTGTGAGGTGGAGGTGGTCCCAAAGCGAGGGATGCGGCAAGGTGAGGAGGCACGAGGTGGGGGTTTGTGGAGAGATGCCCGAGTCATGGATTGCAGCTCAGTGCTCCATTCCCCCCCTCTCAAATTAGGCACCCTGGTCCTGGTCCTTGCTGGAAGGGGCATTGTTTTCTGCAGGGGGACATGCCTCAGGGAAAAAAATGAACTGCTGGAGATGGTGGCTAGGCCACAAGACATGGTTGTAGCACTAGGCTCCTGCCTTGTAATCACCCATGCAAGTCCAAAACAAACCATAAATCAATCTCTACAGCTTACCTCCCCTTAAGGACTCTGACAGCAACATCCTCCCGCTGCCAGCACGCCTGCAGCATCCAACCCAAAATCAGGTTGGAGGGAGGCTCACGGGCATCCCCACACTGCTGCCGCTGCTCGAGCTGGACCCGAATCCCTGCAGATGCTAAACCCAGCAGGAACTGTTGAGTGATGAACATGAGAGGAGAGAGCAGATTGTTTCTTTTTTTTTTTTTTTATTAGACTAGGAAATATAATTTATTGCATAAAAATTAATTTGTTACAATAGGAATGCTAAACTTTATTTACAGTTCTTTAGTTTACAGAATAAACAGATGCGGTTTTAGAGGATGCCACCAGGCCCATCCCCTGGACATATAAATATGGAAACAGATTGTGGAGCAAGAGACGGACACTGCCAGCACGACACAGATCGCAGGTTTGCCTTTGACAAAATGCCTGGCCGGAGGAATCCCCAGAGGGGGGCTCCTGGGAGCTGGCACCCATGGGAGATGGGCGCAGCTGCTCAGAGGACTGGCGTTGGGGGCAAACTGTGCCCTCCCCGCTGTCCTGCTCCCAACACAGGTTCCCTGGTCTGAAAAACGGGGAGAACTTCCCCAAACACGCACCTCAGCGGATCCAGGTGGCTGCTGCACGCCAAAAGGAAGGTGAAGATGGAGGCGGACAGCTGGGGATGGGGGCAGAGGGACCCGCGGGCGGGACAGATGGATGGACGGATGGACAAGCGCGCATGCCGGCGCAGCGATCCATGAACCAGAGACGGCAAGAATAAAAGCGAGAGATTCAGACGCGACCCGAAAGAATAGCATCTCATCTCACCTCACAGAGAGCACCGCGGCACTGAGAAAGGAGCCCTATAAAATGCCAGCAGCCGGTTTGATCCATCAATTCATTTCTTTCCTAATTTGCTTACTCTTCCTCAGCTCAGACAGGTCAGATGAGAAATCAGATGCTCGAATGCAACCTAAAGGATGGATTAAATCTCTTCCTACGTGACACAGGAGCTCACCCAGCAGAAGTCTTCACATCCGGCACAAAAGAAAAAGATCCCGTCTCTCCCATAGCCTTGAAACCCCAGCAAGAAATGACCCCGAAACACAACAGGGAGTGGCTCTATGCATTCAATCACTGCTTCAAGAGCTGCGAGAGGAATCATACCCATGCCTGAGCAATACTGAAAACTCCCACGGAGCCGCCCTGTGAAGGCGACGCTCTCGCTCGCGGCAGGGCTCCCTGAGTTTGCTCCGGTCCCCAGCAGGCTGCAGGATGCTGCAGGCACCCCGTGACACCGGGCCAGGGCTCTGCAGTCAGGACACCGCATCGCAGCCCGAAGCAGGACCTGCTCTCAGACCCTGCTCTTAATACTTCTACTGATGGAGGATCCACAGCCTTGCCATGTGATCTACTCTAATCCTGAGCTTACCATCCCCTTCCTATTTATTTTTTTAAAAACCAAATTTCTAAGATACAGCACTCTGAGTAACTATTTCTACCTGCAGGCAATCTAAATTTTTACCTTCATTGAGACACCGTATCTTTTGTGAGGAACCTCGTTCCTGCCTACCTCATGATTACTTTCCATTCATCCCACAACTTCTCCATCATTATAAAAAGTCTATTACAGGGAAAAAAAGGCGCTGCAATGAGAGGACAGAAACCCAATCACTGCTTACGATGCCGTCTCTTGTGTGAAAATGCTCAGCCTGGCTTGCAACTTGGAGATACTGAGGTCTCCCTCCCCACACCCTCACTGAAATACTGGATCAAAAACTGTCTGTGAGCACATGGACCCGAGACCGACGTGATCTGTGAGGGGCCGCATCCTGGCCCGCCAGTGCTCTGCTCTCCCCGGACCCCTCCACAAGCTGCTCATCACCTCCCTCTGAACCCCGAGCCCAGGTTTGGGGTGCTCACTGCAAAATCCTGGTGGGTTTAAAACATCCCCCCTTTGGCCTGTGGATCAGTAGGTTGGTGCAGGACTGAAATCTTTGGTTTGTACTGAAGTTATGTAAATGAAGGCGTAGTCATCCTAAAAAGCTCCCCCAAATGATGCCGGGGAAGAATTCATTAAAAATACCCATATCTGGATGCATTTCCCCCCCTGAACCCTAAATGCAGGGCAGCACCCTGCAGGTGGAGAGGGAGCCCTCACTCCACCGGGCACTGCTGCCAGGGAAAGGGGAGTTCGCAAGGAAAAAATCTTGGAGAGGGCCTCAGCTGGCCCTGAAGCAGAGGGGCGTAGAGGCACTTCACCCTACGGACTCCCCGGGGGTCCCAGGACATGTAAACACATGGACCGCACGCTTTTCCCTACAAAAGTGTGTTCATTTAAATCTCTCTCTCTCTGCCACCCTGACCAAAGCAACGCTCTTGCTCTCACGCACAAGAAGAAATAATAAATCTTTTTTTTTTTTTCTTTTTTTTTCTTTTTTAAAAAGGATTCATCCAAAGATCTGGATAATAAATTATTTGCGTTTCCTAAGAAACTTTTTTTTTTCCTTTTTTCTTTCTTATTTGCCTTGTTAAGCTGTCTGAAGCTTTTGACAGAAGCCATTCGTCTAGATTGTACTTGTCTCTTCAACGCAGAAATGCTATTAAAGGAGGAGGAGAACCGGAGTGGAACCCAAACAAAGGAGAAGGAAAGCCCCCATCCTGAGTGGAGAAGCCCTAATTCCTCCCCACACTGCAACTGCCACCCTGGGGACAGCTGGGGGAGGAGGAGGAGGAGGGGAAGGAGGAAGAGGAATGCTGTGTAACACTTGAATTGCTTGTAAACTCTGAGGATGGGTCTCTAAGGCTGACAGTGATGTGGGGAGGGAGGGAGAAGCAACGGCCTTGGCCCTTCCTCACCCAGCTGCTGCCCGGGGATGGATATACCTCCTCCCACTGCCAGGGAAGGGTCAACCCCCTCGCCTCCCATTTCATCCTCCTGGCCCACCAGCCATGGGAAGCATCATCAGCAGTCCCCCTCCGTGGCCATGACCACCAGCATCTCACTCTTGCCCATCTCTTCTAAGGCACTGGCCAGGGTGTTGAGATCGCCGTCGTCTTGGTGCTCGGCTTCCCATAAGTCCAGGAGCACCCCAGTGGGGCTGGCTTTGGTGGCAAAGTAGTTCAGATACCTGTGAAAGGGAAACAGAGGGGAGGTCCAGGTTGGTGGGGTGCCTTTGGGGATGGAAGGAGGGAGGATGCTGGAGCAGCAAACCTGTTTGCAACATGTACCCCGATAGAAATGCCATAATGCAAATGCCAAAGCCCTCAAGACATCGTCTTCAATTTTTATACAGAGCTGGCGTTCATGCAAAAGCAATGCAAGTTTTGTTTTGCTGAAATTACCCTCCCTTCAGCCCTCGGAGGTGAACCCAGGCAGGAACAGCAGAAGCATGGTCCCAGATAAATAAGGGCCAGTTCAAAGTGACAAGAGACCCAGGACTGTGGTGCAGATAGATGCATGGATATTGATGGGTGTAACTGTGCTCAGCTATATCCATATTTACGGGTGGACCTATACAGCTGGGTATGACCTAGCCAGATGCCTGCAGCAGGGAGGGAGCACAGAGTAAACCCCCCCGCCCAGGCACGGGAGAGGAAAGCAAAGCCCGGGGAGACCCACCGGTCCATGGAAAGCTTCTGGGCGAGAAGTCTCCAGTCATTTCCCCTGGAGTTGGGAGCATCCAGGCTGTTGCAGATCTTCTGCCGGATGGAGAGGGGGATTTTGAAGGCGTAGGGTCCCAGCTGGGTGGTGGTGGCACCGCTGTGGTGGGAGCGGAGGGTGTCGAAGGAGCTGGCGTGCTGCAAGAGGAAGGATGGGGCGAGATGTTGCAGCACAGAGTGGCTCCTGAGCGTGTCCCCTTGCTATCCGCTCACCTCCCCACTGCTCACCTCTCCCAGCGTGATGTGGAGCTGGAAGATCTGCCCTTCCCCTTCTACCTGCCGGACGCAGATCTTGCAGGTGAGCTCGGTGGAGGCCTGGCTGTACCTCTCCAGTGTGAAGGTGCAGTGCAGGGCTCGCTGGCTGCCACTCCAGATGTGATAGAAGGGGATTTCCTGCGGACCACCACCAAAGCATGGGCTCAGCAAAGGCCCCAGCAGCTCCCTTGGGAGATCCCACCTCCTCCAGCCACCCCACCAGGACGAGACAGGACAGAGGGACCCCACAGACAGCATCCCACCAGGAAAGATCAGAAAACTGGTCCCCTTTCCTCCTCCATCCACCTTTGGGAGACAACTCCAGAGGCAAGACCAGGGCACCCACAACCCTGGGGTGTCTGGCTGAAGATGGTGTCCCCAGTCCAGGACCCCATCTGGCCCCGCCACAGCTCCTCACCTGGTACTTGGCCAGCAGCTTGCTCCTCCAGAGTGCATGGGGGATGTCATGGATAGAAAGACGAAGGTTGTGGTAGCTGTCCTTGAAGGGCAGGGGCTTGGGCTCCTCCAGCAGGTATCCACCCAGCGTCCGCTCCAGCTCCAGCACCTCCTACGGGCAGCAGGACAGGCAGCGTCAGACCCAGCAGGGCTTGCTCCTCTCCCCCCTCCAGACCCAAAGCCAGGCACATTCCTCCCACAAGGAGCCAGCAGCAGCAACAGGACTGCAGAGAGTCTTCTGCAGGAGAGCAGCCTTTTCCACCTCAACAGTCGCTCTCCAAGAACTTGCCAACTCATCTCACACACCAGCCCCACTTTAATTTTTAACACGTGAGCATCCATATATGCCTCTGTACTCCTCAGACAATAGAAAGGTCCAACATGAAGGTCAGGCACTCTCTCGAAGAGGGCCACCCTATCTGTTTTTAACACCATCCCACTATTAAACCATCAGCTCTTAGGAGAAAAACACAATTCAGGAGCCAGAGCGCTTCCTACATCTCCACCTAGAGGCACTACAGCAATCTTGATGCCACAGGACAAGTCACAGGGAATTGAACAGCCACAGCACTGGTGGGGGTTCAGGTAGTCAAAACATCAAAACTCAAGCTTCCCATGCTGTGCTTGATGTTATCTACGTCACAAAACACTCCCAATGAGGGGAGAAACACGTCTCCATGGAGGAATAACAGGATCTATACAAAACCCAGGCAAATCACAGCAGCGTTTTCTGCATAGGAGAGAGAAACCCACCCAGGAGCAGCAAAATCTCTCATGCAATGTCTGCAGAAAGGGGGCCCAGCATAGGAGCTAAACAACACCCTCCTTGTTTCCTTTGGAGAGCATGAGGTAGGACAGGGAGAGCCATAAACACGCTTATTATTTCCCTTTGGTCACTTTGCAGGCAGTTGCATCAGGTTGTCTGCTCCCTGGGGCCAGGCCATCCAGAGAGGCAGCAGGCAGCATCTTGCCACCAGAGCAAGCAGCTTTGGGAAGCAGTTGTAAGGCAATGTTACCTTCAGAGCATCTGGTGTGTCCTCCAAGCAGTAGACCTTGAGGCTGTACTCCAGGGAGGTGCAAACGGTGGGGGCAAAGATCGCCAGCTGGAGCCTCTTGATGGCTGACCTGGAGTAGGACTCTCCCACAAAGACGTAGGTGCCAAGCTGGTCTAGCAAAATGTGGCAGGACTTGGCTTCCAGCTGGCAGTAGCAGGGAGTGTTGAGGGTCTCCTCATCCAGGGTCACAACTTCCTACAGGGAATCAAGGTTGGAGGTCAGCCCATCATCTAGGGGGTTAGCGAGGGGTTGTGTCCCACAACACTCTTGGCCTTCTCTGGCTGCAGGGACTGGGTTCCCACCTTACCTCCCAGTTTCCCTGGTGGGACTGTGTTTTCAGCTGGTAAATCCAATCTGAGGAGCCGACATCGGCACAGTGGGGAATGGTCAGGACGACGGGGCGGCACAGGAGCAAGCCGGTGGGTCCGCAGGTCACCGCTGGGCTCAGCACCGTCTGCGTGCCTTCGGAGGGCAGGCTGGGGAGGGGAGATGGGACACCGGTTGAAAAGAAAGCCTCACGGCGGCCAACGGAGAGCAGAAGAGCGGGCGGCGCGGTGTGACTTACAGGACGCTCTCAGCCTTGTTGAGGACCAGGTACATCTCGTAGAACTTCCCCTGGGGGATGGCCCCGTGGGGCACCAGCAGGCTCACTCCTAGCACAGCACACACAGGCATTGGTCACAAAACGAGGGAGAAGCCACCAGGGAGAAACCATCCCTCCACCCCGGCTGGCAAGCCCAAGGACAGCAGCGAGCTAGGGCAGCCCAGCACACCCCAGGAGAAACATCTCCAGATGTTCCTCAGCTGCACTGCTTGCAGGGAGGAGCCAGGCCACTCTATTAGGAAGCAAAACCACAGGCTGGATCTTTTTGCAAGGCACTGGCCCTGGATCGATGGCAAGACCAGCCAGGGAAGTCTCAGGAGGCTGGGACCTCCAGCCTGAGAAGCCTGGTTTGGGAATAGCTCCCTGCCTTCCTCCCCTGAGCCAGCTTTTGCATAGCAAATCCTGCTCACGGACCTGCTAGGACAAGAGCAACTCCCTGATCACTCAGTAGTCAAACACAACCTCCTCCCCAGCCCGGGGCTTACCGGTGCCTGGGATGGTGAGCCTTCCCCCCAGGTAGCCAAACGTGCCACTGGCGCTGTTGCCATGCTCCCGTGGCAAGCTGAGGAGATGCTGTGAGCCCAGGGCTTTGCTCCGCATGTTTGCAAAGGGGCTGTCCCTGGTGCTGTCCCCCGGGTAGGTGCCGGTGGCGGGGACCCCTCCGAGCAGGTCTGTCCCGTCATGGAGCCCCGACGAGGAGGAGGCGGTGGAGGAGTTGTACACCTTGATCTTGAGGTTGGGGAGGGGGTCGAGCAGTGGGGAGTTGGTCATGGGGATCTTGTCGGAGGAGTCCTGCAGGGCGTACATGGGGCCACGGTACACCCCCGCGCTGGCTGTCAGGTCCGGCTGCATCGAGGGGTGCAGCAGCTGAGGGTTGTCTGTGGGAGGAGGAAACACAGATGGGGTGAAGATGACATTGGAAACAAGGGGATGTAAAAGCACTGCTTGACTGGAAGAGATGGCCATGAAAAGCCCTCGTCCCCTGGCAAGGGATGGAGGACATGCAGGAGGTCTGACAGCTACAGCACTGGGTTACATCTGTCCACATTCCACCAAGCACTGGGAAGGGAACTGCTCAGCATCATGACTAAGTGAGGAGCAGCATCCTACAGTAAATCCCCACTGCATCTGTTTTGCAGATGCTCTGCCCTGATTCCCACCATCAACACATGACCACCTCCATAGCATCCTTGGCCTACAAAAATCAGAATATACCCCTAGAAAATTGAAGCTGGGGGTCTACCAGGAACCCGTCCCCTACTGTGATTTGCAGCCTGACTTCCTTTCTGCCTGGACTTGAGCTGGTGAGCAGGACCTGCACAGGCTATGGCTCTTACCATGCCGGGAGGTCTTGAAGTTGACAGGGTGGAAGCCTCCGGTCAGAGCAGCTGATGAATCTGTGATGTCTGTGTCGAAATCCCGGCACCTCCTCCGGTATACCACCACCCCCACAGCCATGAGGATGACAATGAAGACGAAAACGGCCACCACCAGCCCAGCATACAGGGCCACATCACCTGTGGCCTCCAGCACTGTGAAGGATTAAAGAAATGGAGATGAAAACAGGAGCACCAGAAATGCATGTCAAGACCCACCAGTGCTCCCCAACCACATTGCTAACTCGAGACATAGGCATGAAGGGGAAGATGTGTACTGGGCCTGCTGGAAGGGCTGTGGCAGGAGGATAGAGGGTGTTTTCTAAGAGTGGTTCATAAGTCAGAGTGAAGCCAGAGACTGAGCTGGTGGTTAATGCCTGACCTTTGGAGGACATCTTGCCATGGCTTGTGCAAACTTTATTTCAGCACCAGAAAGCCCAGAAACATTAGGCTTGTGCACCTCAGATTCATGAAGCTATCAACCCTCACATCCTAACAGAGACAACCCAGAGAAGTAAATGTAACGCCTATCCATGCATCTCATATATATGTACCTGAGCTATCTAACCATGCAGAAAGAGTGTCTCTGCACTTATATAGACACCCTTCAGCTTCCCAATCTATCCTTCCCCTGCCACAAGGCTCTCAACCTTTATAAGCCTGCTATATCTGCCCAGGAAGGAGAGGCAGTGCATGGTAAATCCTCCAGCAGCAGGAGCTGAGGATGCTCAGCCCACCCTTCTCTCCTTTCTCCCTTGATGCTCACCTGTGTCTCTTGGTTTCTAAGGTTTTGTGCTGGAGTGAAGCCCTGTCCTAAGCTCAGTGGTCTGCACCACGGCAGGACTATGCCACTTCTGAGAGGTGTCACCTCATCCCCAAGTCCCCCCACTCTGACAAATGGAAACCCTGATGCACCCCCAGGACCCCCAACTTGAGGAAGGGAGTCCTCATCGTCAGGTGACAATGCCTGGAGTAGCTTTGGTGGTGTGACACCAGCTGCACTGTGGTGCACCCAAGAACTACAGGCAGCAAAAGGGGGATGGGATTGGGGGTGCAAAAGCGGCTCATATTTATAGCTTCAAGCAGAGTACGTGATCTAATGTACAGAGGAGGTCTGGGGTGGTCTTTAATTGCTCCCTCTTCCCACTCTGCCCTGCCCCAGCTGCCGAGGAGCCCTACCATAGATGCAACAGAACAAAACCAGAGCAATGCCTCGCAAAGAAACAAAATGGCCATGAAATGAGCACTTACGGTGGCTTTTGGGTTCGCTTAGAACTCTTTTATCTGTTAGGAAAAAAAAGTTAGAAAACAAAAGGTGAAGGTGGTGATGGTTCGATGGGGATGAGATGAAACAAAAGGGG